AGTCGTTATGTTCAATGTTCAATAAGCTTACGTAACAGGGTTTTGTCTGTTTTAATTGCTTTTTAACAGTAAAATTACCTGCTTAAGAAAACCGATTACTCAGAAAACAATAGCCAATTAAATATCAGTGAATTACACTGCATTCACACTAACCCACAAACAAAACTATCAAAAAATATGGAGAATTCTGGTTGATCAATTTTTCGTCGCGGGAATTTGGTCGGCATTCCATTTCTTTGCCATTATAATTCCATTTATATCATTTCTAATACTATTATTCGGGTTTAATTTTCAAAAGAATGTGAAAATGGGGCAGAGGGGAAAATACAGATTGATGTTCCCAGCACCCAAGGGGGTTGAGATTATACCGGTCGCTTCATCATTTACCCTTTAATCGGGGACCACATACGGGCTCTAATGATCCCTTAAAGGGCTTCAAACTCCTCAAAAATGAGCTGTTAGTTTTCGTTTTAACATGGGGCACATTCGTTCAATCTTAACTAAAACTGTTTTATTTAATTATTCTGCACATTAGGAAATTTATAGAGGAAAATTATCGGAAATGTTGCAGCAAGCGTAATTGACGACTTTGTAATTAGATCAAAGACAAATAGTTGAAATTGCGTTGGAAAGTTGACGTAATTCTTTAAACCTTGCTACAATTCACGTATTTACCAACTTTTCGATTTTTTTTCAAACACAACGAATAAGAAAATAATATATTCAACTTTGATAATGAATGAAGTTCAAATATGATTTTGACTTCTCTTTATAGCAAACCGTTGACCTAGCGAAGTTGTAAAAACGGTACAAAAACAATACCATGAAGTCTTTATATGACGTCACAAAAAACATGGGAATATTGTGCACAAGTGGATGAATAAACAATAGTATGTGTGCATGTCAAAACAATAGTATGTGTGCATGTTAGCTAAACACATATGTGTAGCACCACTTTGATAACAAAACTAGGATTTTTCTTTCTTTACGTACGATTGTTGTAATATTTTATTCCAAAAGTTTTCACGGGTTACATTTCTTTATTTGCTTCTAAAGTCTAGAACAGAAAAAAACGATGGTTAACAGAACGACAAAATGACATTCGAGGACGGAATGATGACGTCATGTTACTGCGGCGTGAAAATGCGCTAAAACATCCAGCACTTCTCCTCGATTGAATTCGATTAGTAATAACCTATAACTTCAGGTCAAATAGGAGTTTCGGTCCCGCTCTGCGATATTGTACAACATTCCGCATCACATATGTGTTTTAAGCAAGCTTCCCTATCATATTAGCTTCAATAAAGTAAATTTAAGGTAGTATTAAAAGGTTTATATCGGCCCTGATTGTATTTTTTTTATTTAAACAAACAGCTATTGCCACAAAAGCACATTGTTTAGACTTATAACAAGGATTGAGTTATCGTCGATTTATTGATTGATTGTCTAACTGACTGAAATGAGGAAGGCGATCAGGCGGGTCAGTATCACCAATTTCATCATTAACGTTTCCTTTGGCAGGGTCTTTTCAATAACATACAAATACTGGAGAAACCTGAGACACACAAGATGAGTTATGGCCAACGGATATCTATAAGAAATCGTAAAGAAAAAAGGACAGGAAGGCAAACGATTTGAAATGACATTTAGAAAATAATAATAAAATTGTTCTTTAGTTGATGGTAAATTGAAGCGCCATTTTCCTATGATTTTGCCATTTGGTTAACGTCTCAATCCTGAAATAAAGCAGGTCGTTGCTAATGTCAGAGAGATATGATTGTAGATTGTTGTGTTTATTGATCGCAAGCATTGTTAGCTTCACGAGTTTTTACACGAAATTTCAATTAGTGTAACGAAGTGGAAATAAGTAGCGAAAGCAGCGAATATTTATCAACTGAAAGATTATTGTATTACATGCATTATTTACATCAAAAGTCCTCAAATATTTCTATTTAAGAATCCATTTATGATTGAAAGTCATACGGTTTATAACATAATTTCAAGCTGATCGTTTACTAAGAGATGCAATTATTGCAAAACGTATCGGGGCCACGGTACGCACTGAAGAATGAAAACATACACAGCTTGCTGTCATATGAGTTAAGGCTTGAACGCCACGTGCGCACGGTATCGGAGAACTCATAACGTACTAAGGATGGATTTCGGGTTTGGAACTTGAATGTTATCATAATTGATATCGGTGGTGCGTCGGAGGAAACATATGACATACACCAGTATCAATATTGGTGGATTTCAAAACGTATTTGATACGAAACACTGTTCCAGATGTTCTGTAAGCACGAGCTAGTATAACGAAACTACATATGTATTATCACATATATACATGTTTAAAAATAGATTTTTTATTTGTCGTGGTCATTGGAAGATCTTTTAATTGCATCTCTATCCAATCAAACATTTAAAAAAAACCAGTAAATAATCAGAAGGATTTGGCACAAATTCTGTACTAGGTCCTTTCCCGCAATTACATCTCCGGGGTTCAAAATTCACTAAGAAATTCTATGAATAATTGAAACGCGGAAGGTAACGTGTTTTAGGCATTTAGTTTCGTATTTGATTCAACGGGAAGTCAGCGGACTTTGTTATTTCTAAATTAAAGGATCCCTTGCTGTGCGATGTTCAAACGATATTTTTATCTTTTAAACTTGTAGAAAAACATGATCTTGTAACGAATTTATTAAAGTCACAATTCCAGTGTGAATTTTAAAACCCTAGTATTAATTTCTGTCAATTAATGTGACAGTGGTGTAAACACCCCATTAAGTCACATATCAACACCTACAATTTATATTTGTAAATCTCCTTAAGAGTCTGCACTGACCACTAACGTCACAGATAGAATCGATCGAATAGGATTGGCCATCTTTTAAGTTCTATGCAAATCGGATTTTTCTTACACTGGAGTGGTATGGCGAGTGTGTTGTGTGTAAATATTTCCATAAGGTTAATATGTACAAGTGTAAGAATCGTTTAACCATTGAGTTCTGTCCTTCTTCTCCTATCCTGATTGAATATTGAACGACATATGCGCATTGAATACAACATATGAATATTGGCCCAATCTGTGACATACCGCGCAATCTACACGTGTCAATGGCTGCAAAGGGACTTCAGAAACTACCATGAATATTTTAAATTCTGCCCGTCTTTTAATTTCAACTATAAAGAAAGCAATTAAGCGGCCGTTAATTTCTTCGTGCGTCAGCTATAGGAGTAGAAGACTTTCAGTTTATTTTCCTTTCGAAAGAAACTTTAAGTTGAGCTGACTACACCACCAAAATAGTACAATGTAGTTATTTATTTATTTGCACAATTATGAATCAAGTTATTTGAACTTATATTAATCAGTTTTGTTTGCCCAGATGTTATCTCGCGGGGAAGGAAACCGGAGTATCCAGAGAAAACCCATGCCCTTGGGCAGGTGACCCAAAACCTTTCAACTTTCGATCGGGGAATTGAACCCCGGACGTCTTGGTGAAAGGCGACTGGGTTATCCACTGCGCCATCCGACCAATTACAGCTTACCTTTTAAAGGATGTCGAACCTATGAAATACGATTTATCTTTTTGTCAAGAAGAATATTACGTATTTAGAAACGCAAATCGATAGTTTCTTAAGTGAAAGACGAGTTGAATTTTAATGAACATAGCTGAAATATTTAAAAACGGGTAAAGTCGTTATCGCTAAAAGTATGTTCCATTGAATTGTAATACACATTATATATAAAGGCATTGTTTTCCATAAACGTGATGATTAATGCATTCCTTTCAACTACACCGCGACAAACTCCCTAGTTGCACAGTTGCGAACACAGGGACCTGAGAATTTGTTACAGAATAGCTATACTTGGACCTAAACTGATGTGTTTAGATTTTAGATGTTTTTTCCCCGGTTTATATCCACTTTCGGTAAGAATTCCAACACCAATGATTGAACCAGTTTAGGTCCAAACATAGCTATACTGTAACCAATTAGCATGTCCCTGTGGTTACGACTTCTTGGTAAGGTCATGACAACAGATAATACATGAAAAAGGACTCGTTAAAAAAAACGTGACTTGTGAAAAGGCTACATGAATGATGTCAGATTGATTTTAATGAGGAGGGTAAGTATGACGGTTTCAAAATATGGATCCGCCTCTGGGACGACAGAATTTTTAGACATCGATTCTTCCACATGGACCTGGTATTTGGTTACAGCTATATTTGGACCTAAACTGAGTTGTTCAGAGTATTTTTTTCTTGTTTAGGAATGTAGATACATTTTCGGTAACACTGCAATCCCCAATGATGGTATGTTGTATGTAACCCCCTAAAACGTGTAAAATTACTCTGAACATTTCAGTTTCGGCCCAAATACAGTTTTAACAAGTTCTCAGGTCCCTGTGTTGTCATCCACACTCGACCTTGCCCGGGACTACAACGTACACGGATTTGATTGATCGGATATTGACAACACAAGTATTGACCGTTAACCTACTGAGAAGATTTACATGTCTGCGAAGAATGTTTGCATTCAAAAGTTTACCCCGGGATCTGTATTAGTACATGAGTTTTGATTTGAGCTAATACAACAGCACGCTAGTACCGGGCCGTGAGAACTCGCTGGTACAATGCTATTGGGTTAGCTAATGGATAAGGATATAGACATGCAACTGACACAGTGATTTATTTCATACATGTAGCGGTGTCGATCAATTCAAATCAGAGTTTGGTTCGTGAGGGTAAAAGATGGATAAGAAAAGGTATAGGCGTCTGTCTCCATGAAGGCCATTTGGTACAATTATTTTAGACACTGACATATTTATAAAATGTCTTTGAATGTCAAAAATTATATAGTATAATGTTTCAATTAAGATCAATTTATTAATATTCAATTGATTTTGTAGAGATTAATTTATCATATTTAAATTACAAAACTACGTTTTGAACATTATACATTTAGGAATAAAAGTTATTTAGATTTAAGACATATCTTACCTGCGGATGTCTGGATGTACGTCATAGCACATGACAGCCTCCGAAGCCATCGAGTCGCCATGAACATTCCCGCCAAACCCAGAACGAGACTGGCGAGCAAAATGGCACATCCGGTTGAAAATAGTAAAAATGTCGCCTGCCACGCTCCTGAAGGAATGTTGACCACACTAAGTTGACCACCGTAAAAAGAACACATCCGGGTCGTTAGTAGACTGCCCGCATCACCGAGCTCGCTTCCTTTACAGTATATATAAACTCCGAAGGAATGGATTCCGTCCGGATGTAAAATCCAAAATGGCTGAAGCAGGCTGAAAGCACAAGAAGCGGCGACAAGTGCCGTTATCAAGATCCATATGTAGAATACGAAAGATATCATTGTTCAGCATTTCTATTTTCACAAGCACAGAAAGAAAAAAACGCACATTTAGTTTACTCCAGACTCAAATCTTCAGTGGTCTGTTTTTACCGTCACACTCGTTGCCATGACAACACCGGCAAGGGATCTCTGCATTTTTTATCCGTTGTTGTATCTCATTGCAAATAAGTTTAAGATCTATTCTGTTTTTGTTTGTCAATTAAGTATTACTTGGCAATATGGTACTGACGAATGCAATCTCGAATTAATGTGATTAAGGTTCCGTTCGGATTTAAGTAAACAACAACTTGTACACTTGAACTCCAATTAAATCGGCTACTAAGACAAACGGACAACCCAAACTCTATATGTCTCCTGAGAATAGTTTCCCGTCTATATATAGACTAAGAAAATCCAAATCGTAATCCACCAATCACAATCGGCCAATCGTACTGACCATCAAAATCTTGACCAATGTCCAATACTGCAGCTAGTCAAGCCGATCAGTTATCGTGAAAGTGTTTCCGTTAGGCTCATTGGAGCGTAAAATTGGTGTAATCGGGCGTGTTAAGTAAGCGCAAGTAATTGGAACCGAACACCGCATACCGCATCCAAATACTGCATTAACCAATTGTTACTCCAAGCAAACAGTTCGGCATTTACACATTGGGTTGTCAACTTCAACAGAGACTTTATTTACTCGCTTAGAACAAAGATACAACCAGTTATTTCTGGAATTCCAAGATAAACACTTAAACAACTGTCGGTTTCCCAAACAAACGCCGATATTTATAGCTTTGTAATGTCAGTTTTAGTTAATTTTCCGGCCGTTTATTGCTGTTAACTTGTAACATGTCAGAGTTAAAAAAAAAAATCCTTGATTTTGGATTTACGGTTTGAAATCAAATAAAACGTCACAATTATTTGAAAAACGCGCACTCGCACATAAACGCTTGTATTTCGCTCCGTTCTTGTTGAAATCACAATTATTAACAAAATAATTTAGTGGAATCTGGTATCACAAAACAAGACATTTAATAACGAATGAAAACTGCCTTATTTCATAACATATGGAACGCGAGCTATTCTCCAAATTGATTGAATTGCTCCAATTCGCTCTGTATGTTTAGCGTTTTATGTAAACCATTCTAGGCAGAGCAGAGCTGTATACCGATTCTTACAGACTACGTGAAATTATTAGCTTGCCTATGCATATAGAAAAATCCAATATCGCTATCGGAGCAATCACAATTCTCGAGTGGACATTGTCCAGTTGCCGGTCAATGCAGCCGAATGCTCAAATTGATAGGTCCGAATTGAATCGCCAATCTCCAAATTATCACCGGTCACCACAGAAAAATCCAATATGATAGCGGCCTATTACAGCTATCACCATTCCCTGTTGGATAAAACCCAGGCGCTGGTCATTTTGGCCGAACTATCTCTTGACCAATGTCCGAAGTAATCTTATATCCTGAAATTGACTTCCCTTGTTCGTTTCAGTGCTAATCCGAAGTCGTACACGCTACGGCACTATCAGGATAAAAGGAACTCTCCTGTTTCTCGATTCTGAGATGTTACTCTTATCTTCGTTACATAAACCATATTAACTTGATGTTAGAATCCGAACCCGTTGTCGGGAAACTCAGCAACCAATATACATATAGAACGCATAAGAATTTATATCTTTGACTGTATCCCGCAGTTCAGTTCCACGAGGGCTCTGCGCCTATAGCGGTTTTATCATTGATAGTCTAAACCGCATCGAAACGAACCGTGGCAACACCATGTCATCTTGTCATTTATTCCAGATGATATCCATTTAGAAATAATAAGTGTCACAAACTTTCACAGTGAGAGTCCAGTTTATCCGCGCTGTCTCCTCGAAACAATATCCTTCGTGGCAAGTTATGGAATTTCTCGTGTTTATAATGATAGTTTTAACCGTCCCTTCACACAACTTGGTTTCTTGCAATAGTTCCTATTAACAGTTGGCATAGTATTATTCCTCAGTATATCATTTCTGAGCTCTGAATGATTTTGATCAATTTCCTGACAAGCTATTATAATTCCATACTACAGACGATCTGTATGATATTGATATCATCTTCTATATTGATCAAATGTATGTTGACAATAGGTTTTAAAATTCATCATTTTTTTTTCTGAAGTATCGCCCATCAAATCCTCTATAAAAAATCTAGGTCAATTAAAATCGAATGTAATTAATACTCTGCCAGAACATGTTCACGCTCCGATAATATCGGGAATTATGAAGTCCAGTCCGTAAGCGCTGGCGGCGTAGTGATATCGTGTTCCTGTAGGCGGTATAACACAGATCCAGTATTTAACGTAAGAGTTTGTGTACATGTACTCTCAGATCACGCTGGATGATAAACACTGCCTCCCGCGTATCACTCGGTTGCAGTGGCTGCTCTCACACTACGGGGCGAGTTGGTGCTCATTCACTCTTATACTCGTGGACGAGTTGACTTCACTGATTTATATATATATAGATATATATGCGTGCACGGCGACTGCTGAAATACGAAACCTATTGAGTGCGAGTCAATGATATTATGGCGAGTTGTCTTTTAATATGAAACATATGTATATTGTAGCTTAAAGTTTTCGCGGAGAATTGTTAAGGCTAGTTTTCAATTGGTGATATTGGTGTTAATCTGATTTCAGCTGTTATGCTTTTTCTTGAGTTGACTGGTGTAATTTAGGCGCATAAGCCTAATCAAGTGTATGTTGACAATAGGTTTCTTTTATTTTAATAATATATTATTGTTGATATATTGTTGCTTATTTTTATCTAAACATATTTTTATTTGCATCTATTATACAAAAAGGGATCGGGCACAAGTTGTCCAAGTTGACCAAGTTGTAAAAAAACATTTTGCCAATAACATATTATAATATATATATAAGATGACAAATTTTATTTAATGAATAATTCTAATTAAGTAGAGTGTTACATTATGTGAGAGAGAAACATTGTTCTACAGGGAAGAATAATAAAATCAATCAATCCATCCATCCATCCATCAAGCAATCAAGCAATCAATCAAATCAAATCGATCAATCAATCATCAACTAGTCAAATTAATCAAATCAAATCAATCAAATCAATCAAATCAAAGCAATCACTCACTCACTCACTCACTCACTCACTCACTCACTCACTCACTCACTCACTCACTCACTCACTCACTCACTCACTCACTCAATCAATCAAATCAATCAATCAATCAATCAAATCAATCAATCAATCAGTCAATCAATCAATCAATCAAATCAATCAATCAAATCAATCAATAAATAAATAAATCAAATCAATCAAATCAATCAATTTAATTAAATCAAATCAAAGGAATCAAATCAAATCAAATCAATCAATCAATTAAATGAATTCAATCAATCAATCAATCAAATCAAATTAATCAATCAGTCAAGATATCAAAAGGAACTGAGGAGCATACACAACTTAAAGAAGACAGTATGAGCCGTGGGAGAAACGTTATTTTAAATGTAAACGATCAATTTCAGATTATTGCCTAAAAGACCAATGCGACAGAGTGAAAGTTAACACAATTTATTGTGGTCTTTGCCCTTTGATAACACCTCATAGATTTGAAAAAATATGTTTTATGTTTATGAAATTACACAAATGTAAAGTGAAAAATAGGAGAATTAAAGGTGTTCTTCACATGTATATGTACTCTGGAAGGGTAAATATTTCATGCAGCGCAGGTGGTCCTGTCATGATATTGTCAAATTCAGGAATTGAAGGTGGAAAATAAACGTCAATGTTGTTTGAAAATGTAAGAAACTGTTTGTGAATACTTTTTAAAATAGCTCGATAATATATACCTTGGGAGAGGCTTTGGGTTTGGGGGAGGGGGCTTGTGTTCGGGGGTCGGCTGTGTGTGTGTGTGTATGTGAGTGTGAGAGAGTAATGTACGTCCACTTTGTTGGGTTGACGAGGTGATCATCTGTATTAATAGATGGATTCTCTGAAGCTTATTATTTTTATTTTTGCTAATTCTAACTCATTTACGTAAGTCTATAGCGTGCAGTTTCTCACTCTGAAAATAAATACATGCACAACTGATTTTTGTAAAGCCCAACCCGCTTAATTTTTAATTTACTATCAATAAGAAGAAAGGCGATATAAGTGTAATATATCACTTTTTACTAGGGCTGTCACAATATATCGGAAAACAGTTGTGTATAATCACAATACACGGGTATATCGTATCGTACCACAATACAGAGATGAAATATTGCTGTATCGCAATATTTTTCACAAGCATATATTTATGTAACTGCTTGGTGTTTTAACTTTGCAAATTACTACACATTCTAACAGATATGCCAAAAAGCATATAGCAGGCTTTTATTAGTTCAAATGTTGTAATCGATGGGTGGTTTGACAAATGTTTTATATCTATGTAATCCATATTGTATATGATTAAGTTTGATAACATTCTGACAACCACTTATTATGAAATTGAGCACATCCTTCCTATGACAATATATCGGGATACGTATCGCAATAAATTAATTCTGTATTGCAATATATCGTGATACACTCTTGGCGTATTGCGACAACCCTACTTCAATCACTGTAATCAAAGTATAGGTTTCTCTATCGACAATCTAAGGGTATAAATCATTTATTGGATTATCTAGACATTATCTAGAGATTAAGGGTCATAGTACTCATAATTGTCTGAGTAATAAAGAGAGCTCAGATACGGAAACTCATAATTGTCTGAGTAATATAGAGTGCTCAATGACGGAAACTCATAATTGTCTGAGTAATATAGAGATTAGAGACGGAAACTCATAATTGTCTGAGTAATATGGAGAGCTCAGAGACGGGATACTTATACTTGACTGAGTAATATAGAGAGCTCAGAGACGGAAAATCATAATTGTCTGAGTAATATAGAGGGCTCAGAGACGGAAACTCATAATTGTCTGAGTAACATAGAGAGCTCAGAGACGGAAACTCATAATTGTCTGAGTAATATAGAGAGCTCAGAGACGGTAACTCATAATTGTCTGAGTGATATAGAGAGCTCAGAGACGGTAACTCATAATTGTCTGAGTAACATGGAGAGCTCAGAGACGGAAACTCATAATTGTCTGAGTAATATAGAGCTCAGAGACGGGATACTTATAATTGTCAGAGTAATATAGAGAGCTTAGAGACGGGATACTTATAGTTATCTGAGTAATATAGAGGGTAATAAATCATTGTAGTTACCATCGTATGGCATTGCCACTTTATAACCCTACCACATTCAGATGACATTCATACAGGCTATGAATGCCATGAGCCGATTGTTGACGTCGTCATTATTATGACGTCATAATTGTACGAAATACAAAAATACAAACATTGAACTGCTTTCTGCTCAATGCTTCAATCACTTCTGTTAAATTATTTTAGGATATTTACTAAGTATATCTAAAGGATAAAAAACAAGTGTATTGAAATAATACAGCTTCCTCGTCAGCAGTTATATTAAAAATACAATGTTGTCGTCCAATTGTGTGTCGTTTAACCTTCTAATAGCGCCAAACATATGACTCCCTATAACACCTCCCGAATTACGTCAAAGATTACGATATGTCAAAACGTCACACTGAACTTTTGATTATTTTTTGTAATTTTGGTTGTAATGTTTCAATGCACTAATCATTTAGGAGAATACCCTATTGTATTTTGAGATTTGCGGCTGTGTATCGTGATTATACTGTCGCAAATTGAGATTTACTGGCGACGCTGAACGGATATACTGCCTCAAGTCTCAAAATATATTAGGATAATCCCCATTCTAATTAATATCAGCTAAAATCACCGGAATAAACGACGATTTTAAAATTTTAGCGCTTTTTTCTTCACAAAATTTAGATCTCTGCCGTGGATTGATGACGTCAGGAACATTGAAAATGTGATGAAATTACATTGACATTTCGGGGTCATGCTATTGTTCATGACGTCATTAAAATTAGTTTGCTGACGTTTTGGGGTGAGTCGAGGTCATTGACTTCATTAACAATCGCCATCCGGGATTTATTTGACAATGAGAAAGGATGAGTGTCTATAATGCCCTTTTTTGGGCCCTGGTATATTCGAATTTAGCCCAATGATGTTTTCAAAGAAAATAAGGTAAACGTTTGACCGAAAGTTAGTTTTTGGCGGTACCAAAAGGGGTAGGGTAAATCACAAATATAATTTGCTATTTTCAAAATGAGCTTAAAAAACAAAATAGTTCCATTTCTGTTTTGAAACATGCGTAAACTAAACAGGCATATATAAAAGAATGAAAAAATGACAGAAATTCAATCGTCACTTAAAATCGTTTATAACAAAGAGAGGATTAAGTCAGGGGGTGCTTGTAGGAAATTTTCTCAATTATTTCCTTTGTAATTTATATTTTGTGTTGAAATTTACAACTTTATTTATTTGAGTACAATTATATGAAATGCATCTTCACTACACACTTTTCTTTTGTTTTATACTTAGTTATGGCTTCTGGACACATCTCAAACTCGGCAATTTCATATACCTCTCTATCTTAAGTGAATTAAAAGGTGCAGGACGCCCTTTATATGCTATAAGTATATGATAGTATTTGTTATATATCGTATATATCATATAAGATGTGTTCAGAACCTGTGGCTGAAGTGAGTTCCAGGTCCTGATTTGTTTTCCTACTTATCAAAGTTAACTTACAAATAAAAAACGACATTTTAAGTTAACCCATTTCATTGTTTTATCAATTGTTGTGCCTATTTCCAATGTTTATGCTCTGATTTTGTACATAAAACGCATTTTGGGTTAATCATGTCATAGATATTTGTTATATGATCATATTTACGTTGTGAAAGTTTCATACCTATCCCACGATGTCTTTTTACTTAAAAAACACCCTTTTCTTTTGATTTGGAATACACGAACATCTTCTTGCTCAAGGATGGTGATGGGCATGGTGATGCAATGTTTTAGACATTCTATTTCCCGACTATTGATATTTTGGTCTCTACATGTCAAACAAAATATTACTTTTAGTACATCGTTTGCTCCGACGGAAATGGTCGTCGATAACAGTGCACTTAGATTCCGAAATTCCTCGTGAAACAGGACCAAAAAAAGAATCCTCTTTCCCCACAACAAAGGGAATCTATTTATATTGTAGGTTTTAGCAATTTTCAAGATTAAGGCTATCAGAACTTTTTTTTTTGTGCAATAGGGATATCAACGTGTTTTTTAAAATTCTCATTACACTGCCTTATCTCACATGAGATTACTTTGATTTGACCAAAGTATCTGCCCCGAAAACGGGGAAGATATAGTAAACACATTTACATGTATACATTTCGGAAGCAGATGCCTGTAATTTGACCTAGA